GGGGGGGGGGGGGGGGGGGGGGGGGGGCGGTCACGTGTTTGCTTGCCATTTTCGTGTGACGAAGTGAGTGTCAAGCAATAGCCAGACTGACGGAAACACGTCACACGTCCAGCAGCCGAGATGAAGCAGCCCAGTACACACGGCACGAACGTTGTTTCGTGCCGTCTGGGCGATCGGGCATACACAAACCCGCCACGTTGATTGGTGGGAAAAAATGGACCACGGGAGTAGAGATATTTCTGAACGGAGCTGATTCCGCACCCTAATGGTTCGCGGCTATTGCAAATTCAACGCTCTCCATGAAGGAAACTCAAGACGAGCAGTGGCACACGCAGTCGTCGTTGTTGTTCCATTTTCCCCGAACCAATTTTGTACCTTTTGAAACCGCTTCGAGGCGGTCGTCGTCGTAGCTTCTTTTCGCCTTTTTCTTGGGTCGTCTCTCCTTCTCCGCCACCGCCGCCCCGTTCCCCTTCCCTTTTCCCTTCCCCTTGTCTCCTCCGCTGCCGCTGGCTTCTTCCTCTTCTTGTTCGTCTTCGTCTTCCTCCTCACCTTCGATGGGACGAACACGGAGGAGGGAAGGGAGCAAGAAACGCGACAGAATTAATCCAACAGATGGCCAAGCGGGCGCCGTGATTTTGGGCCACGATACACGAACAAAATCTTGCGCTGGGCTGAAAAGTCCCCGGAAAGGGGCGGGGAGGAACACATACACACGAGAATAGAAGCTGGAAGGCGGTGTGTGTGTGTGTGTGTGGGGGGATCACCAGCATGCATACCCGTAGTCACCAGACCTATTACACCTTGAACCCCAATACTACGAAGCGAGGATGGCTCCCGTTGGGTTGCGACCGACTAGGCGAACCATTACACCCACACTCCAAAAAAACGCCCGTGAGGTGTAGAGCAAGCGCCACAAAGGGTGAGCCTCATCCAAGAACCCGTTGTGAGAGGGAGGTTGACTTGTGCACGTTGGTGCCTTCTGTCTTGTACAAGTGGCAGCCGGATTCGCACGACTTGATTGTTTTCCGGTCTTGGCACGCCCAAAGACAAGGTCGTGTGGGCAGGCACACCCAAGTGCTACCCGCATTGGTTTTGAGACAACTGACGACGTGTTCCTTCCGTAGTTCCTTCTTTACCACCCCCGACCTAATACGGCACACACTCATGCCGCTGAGATGTGATCCAAGCCGCCTTACATCGGCATGATACATAGAATATCAACACAGGCTTTGGCAGCTCAAAAGAGCGCAAGCAAGCACGAGTCAGCCCTACCGTCTTCGTCTTCATCCTCGTCTTCATCTTCATCCCCCTCCTCCTCTTCCTCCTCCTCCTCTTCTTCCTCCTCGTCCTCTTCTTCCTCTTCACCGTGCCCCTCAGGGCTTGCAGCGACCACTACCGCCGCCTCGGCAACGGCACCGTTCTCCCCGTCCACCTCCTCCGCTTCTCTTGCTTCTGCCGGCTCCTTGGCGACAACAGCTACGTCAGGCACGACCGCCGCTGACGTTGTGCTGGCGACGGAAGACTCAACGGTCTTCTCTCGTTCAACTACCGCGCCGTCCTTCACGACCCTGTTTCGGGGTGCAAAGATTCACGCACTTTAGCTGGTGAAAGAAAAAGAATGGCGCAGACGCCAATCAAAGTGAAAAACCTCCATGTGCTGAATGGCTGGTTGGGTCACTCGACAACCATCTAGGTGTTCCCAAGGTGCCTAGGTGTAGCCATGGTCGGTACGTTAGAAAAGCATGGATGCTCTTCTACCATTGGCGGGGGTTGTTTTTTCCACCCAGGGGGGTTGGTTGCGAGGTGGGTTTGGAACTTGATTCTTCATGCCGCAGAGGTGTCAGCTGCACAGATGAGACCATTCAGGCGGGAAGTTTTGTCGTCAGGGTCTCTTGTAGCAAGTAGGATCACACCTCCTGGTTATCAGCCTACGCAACGCAGGCGGCGACAACTCTTTGCCAGGGGAAACATGACGTACACATGTTGTCACATACCCCAGACTGCAGTGGATCCCAAAAACGCATTCTGTCGGAGGGGTGGGTTACAAGACGCCACACCGCCCTCTAATAGCCTAGGTCTTGTCTTCAACGCTCGAACATCATCAATGGGCTGCTGTGGTGTCTCGTGTCTCATAACCCTTGCGTGCGTAGAATCATAGCTTTCTTGCGGATAAGCAGATGCGTATGCCGGTGAAATCGCTTTGCACGCCTTATCACGCCTACACAAGAACCTCCTCCTGCTGCTGCTGTGTGGAAGAAAACACCAGTGGTGACCGTGTGGCATCGGAGACGTGAACGGTCTGAAACAGCTACAGACCACCATTGCCGACAACGAGAAAAGCAAGCCACGGAACGTCTATGTCGGGTTCTTTATCCCGGTCCATGTTGGGGCATATGCATACGTATGTCCTGGTGATCCCCTCCGCCTTGTGTGCCTGCAAGAGGAAAGATGGGGTTCAGCGTTGGCGTATGTATCGATGAGCAAAATCCCGTCCACACCGCCCCCACCAAAGCGCGGATGTTCCACATGCCCGAACTGGACCCTCCTGTCTTCGCCACACAGACCCGACGCTACCCTCACTCGCACGGTAGACACGATTTCTATTCGTCGGTCCTCCTTTACCTCCCGCAAATTTAATATCAAAGCTAGCGGCCCGGAGTCTGTAACCCCTCCCCCGCCACCGCCCAACTCGCCCCCTGCATGTCGGTGCTGCTGGGTCGATTCGAACCACAGCTCTGCAAGGCTCAACAAATTTGAAAAAAAAAGAGGTTAACAAATCAGGTCGCTACTCTGACAAGATCACTTGTAGTTTGTCGACAGGTGATGGTGTTACAAACATCTGTGGTGAAACATCACTTACTCTCCGTCTCCATTTGCGGCCATGTTGGTGGTGTTGTTGGTAGTGGGGTGGTAGTGCTAGCGCTGGATCTGCTGCTGTTGTTCGTCAAAAGACGCGCCGCGGTGAAATCAATCAAATGAGGATCTCGCTGGCTCCGTCCAGCCGCTGCTTCACGCACGCCCTGTTGCCTCCTTCTTTCGACTCTTTCCAAACAGATTGAAGGAGAGTCGCTGTTGGAGGAGGTTACAGCAGTGTTTGGTGTACGGGGTAGCGATACACAGCTGCGCAGCAGCAGCGGGCGCCAGNGCAGTGTTTGGTGTACGGGGTAGCGATACACAGCAGCGCAGCAGCAGCGGGCGCCAGCACAAAGGACCCAGGGGGGCCGCGGATCGAATACAAAGATGTAGGGAAGATGTGGCCACGGAGCCCCTTTGATGGCCCCGCAGCTCGCAGCTGCAACCTGGAATAGAGCAGACAGAGAGAGCCAGCGAGGACCCAGGATAGGAACAACCAACCTACCTACCTTTTCTGCGGGCTCGACGAAGGGTCGGGTGCTCGTGAACGGCTTGACTTTGTCGTCAGCCGGGAAGGAGATGGGGATGGTTCAGAGAAGGAGACAGATCGGCACCGCGAGAGCAATTGTCGTTGCTGCTGCCCTCGCCGTGCTGCGGGTTGCAGGTCAGCACATGCCACTGGTTGGTGCAAACGGCCGCCGCAGATCTTTGTACGTGTGTGCTGCCGTTTAAGTACCAGGGATTTGTACGGTAGGTGTGAATCCGTGCGATGGGCGTGCGATGTCCAGGGCACACGTCGCCTCCGCTGATTGATGTGCAATATCCGTCTTGCGTCGCCCGCTGCGACTCACCACAAACAAGGTTCTGGTATCCTATCGCTGCCACTTTGCGATGCTTGACGAGATCGGCATGCTTCGTGACATGTGTATGGGGAATGGGGAGGGAACTCTCTGCCGCTTGGTACTATCAAGAAAGATCGCTGCCCTTGCGCATCTTCCATTCCAGGTACACATATTTTCAAATTTGGGAACCCGTCCTCTCTTTGTCTCTGTTCTCGTCGCACGTCGCACGTCTTGCTTCTTCCTCCCGGGGTTACTTGCACGCGCCCAGATGGTTTCCGATACGCAGCAGCGCCCTTGGATCGGGGGGCAGCAGCGTTGAGCCGAGATGATCATTGCGAGCACGGCTGGACATCAACGACGACGCGCAAATCCCGCTCGCGCTTGATGATGATGGTGAGCTTGAAAATTGTCGCCCGCTGGAGCTGTATGTAGACTAGACTAGACTATACCACCTTGGGACGAGGAGGCACCTTAGAGGGCCTGTGAATGGATGAGAGATCTGGGGTTGGTTATTGTTTGATTAGCTCTCCCTGGAAAATCCGGGTGGCGAGCAATGATGACTGAGTGCGTCGGCGATTGCACGGCGGGGGCTGGTGTGCTTCGTTTTCCGTATAGTATGTTTGTTCGGTCTGGAAGTACTTCCCGCGGTTCCTGGAATGCACCATGTTACATGATCTTACGCACTGACAGCAGCCGTGTATGGATATTATCCTAGACGCACCCACACCCCGCGACAGACAGTATCACGCACAGCAGCAGCACAGCCTCCGGAGGAAAGTATGGGACTACCCAGCTCCGTTGGTGACTGGCGTCGTACCCTCTGCTTAGACAACACGCCGTGTTGTTTGTTTGTCCGCCGAGGAACATCAACAACCTGTTCCGCCCCACGCGTGCTCTCGATGACAACCAAGGGTAAACAGCAGCGAAAGAGCTCAGGAGATAAAGACCGGACGGGTAGAGAGGTTGGGGCTGGCTACTTTGCTGTGTATCACCAATGCAGCACTGAAGTTGCTGTATGTTGGGATATGGTGCAAAGTCACGCGTGCCCGTGCCCAACACTGAGGAAAAAGTCTCAGAATACTGAACGAATTGGACCAGGTAGGCAAGCAAACAACAGCAGAAGGGGCAACCTGTTTTTCTTTTGTCTGCCAGGAGCGCTGCTGGAAGCTGTTGTTTTCTGGTGGAGTTTGTATTTTATTTTTGCCAAAAAACAAGTTCATCTCTTTCCGTAGATACAATGTCGAGGATGAATCGATGCTTGAGTTATTTCTATTTCGCACCAAAGTTGGACGTCCCCCGGTTGGTTTTGTTTGGGATGTTCCGGCGGTTGATTTTGTTTGGGAAAATCCAGTTGGGACAGGAAGAGCCTAAAGGACCCTCTTGTTTGGGGGGGGAGGCATCATCAGCAATTCGACAACTTGCTTCGCTTTCGTCACAAAGCAGGTCGGTAGATATAGACTATTCCTCTAGGCTTTCTTTCGTCGGACACTTCATTCTGTGAGGTGCGACATTTTCAATCATTATCGTGTACCTTCACAGCAACAACACGCGCCCCCCGCGAGCATCACACAAGTAACTCCAGCTTCCACTATCGAGGGAGGGCTCAAGTGTCCAATCTTGCATGCGGACCATAACACAAACGACTCGAAACTCACGTCCCTGCCTCCTGCGCCCCCCCCCCCCCCCCCCCCCCCCCCCCCCCCCCCCCCCCCCCCCCCCCCCCCCCCCCCCC